ATATCTTCCTGTTGGATAGATCCTTTCAATATTATGTAGTGGCCGTCTTTGTCTCTAGTTATGGTCTTCATTTTGAAATCTATTTTATCAGATATGAGAATTGCTACCCCCGCTTTTTTTTGCTTTCCATTTGCTTGGAAAATTTTTTTCCATCCCTTCACTTTCAACCTATGTGAGTCTTTTGTTGAGAGGTGGGTCTCTTGTAAACAACATATAGATGAGTCATGCTTTCTTATCCAATCAGCTACTCTGTGTCTCTTTATGGGAGCATTCAATCCATTTACGTTTAAGGTGATTATTGATATGTACTTATTTATTGCCATTTTTGTTTAGTGTGGTTCCATTTTTCTTCCCATTTCTACTGCTATTTACAGCAGTCCTTTTAACATTTCTTGCAGTGCTGGTTTGGTGCTAATGTATTCCCTTAGCTTTTTTTTGTCTGGGAAGCTCTTTATTTGATCTTCTATTTTGAATGATAGCCTTGCTGGGTAGAGTAGTCTTGGATTCAGATTCTTGTTTTTCATGACTTTGATTACTTCATGCCATTCTCTTCTGGCCTGTAGTGTTTCTTGTGAGAAGTCAGCTGAAAGCCTTATGGGGTTCCCTTTGTAGGTAACCTGTTGCTTATCTCTTGCTGCTTTTAGGATTCTCTCTTTGTCTTTAATTTGTGGCATTTTAATTACTATGTGTCTTGGTGTGGGCCTGTTTGGGTTCTTCTTACTTGGGACTCTCTGTGCTTCTTGAACTTGAATGCCTTCTTCCTTCACCAAATTAGGGAAGTTTTCTCTCACTATTTTTTTGAATATATTCTCTATCCCTTGCTCCTTTTCTTCTTCTTCGGGGACTCCTATGATACGAATATTATTACGTTTCCAGTTGTCCCATAGTTCTCTTAAGCTGTCTTCCTGTTTTTAAATAGTTTTTTCCTTTTGTTTTTCTGATTGGTTGATTTTTTCTACCCTGTCTTCTAATTCACTGATCCGGTCCTCAGCTTCCCCTACTCTGCTTTTTAAACCTTCCAATGCGTTTTTCATTTCGGATATGTCATTTTTTATCTCTTCTTGTTGGTTTTTAATTTCCATTTGGCTTATTTTCAGTGTCTCTATGTCTTTACTCATGCTGTTCAGCTTCCTCAAGATCATGGCTCTGAATTCTAGCTCTGTTAACATGCCTAATTGCTCCACATTGATCTCATCTTCGGTGGAGGTGTCTTGCTCTTTCATTTGGCTTCTGTTTCTGTGTTTCACCATTTTAGCTATCACTGTGGGCTTTGGAGCCTGTCAAGTTCTCCCTGTGGGTGTTGGTGTTCTGCTGTTTGTGGCTCCCTCTCCTGTGTTTAGATGAGCGAGGGAGGACCCGCGTTGAACACCACTGTCAAGTCTTACTTTCCTGGTTAAAGTTGCCAGCCCAGGAAACGTACTGTTATCCTCTAGCTTTTTGCCTGGAGGCTAGCAGTCTAGGTTACTTGAGGAGTTTTGGGTTGTCAGTTGCTTGAAAAACTCCCTCTGGTGCTCAGCCAAGGGGCTTTCACGAGGGTGGGGCAGATGCTGGTTGTTAGTGAGCCTCAATTAGCACTACAATGGCCCACAGGGTGGGGTTGGATCTCCGAGGGAGGGGCTGCTGCCTCTCTCAGAGCCCTGGGAAGGAGCAATGTGGCCACCGTCCTGAGTGGCTGCACTCAGCCAAAGCTCTGAGCGCCCTCCAAACCCCGAGTGTCCAGACACAGTTCCAGTCCAGTCTGCCCTCCCTCCGCCGGAGCCCAAGGTGAGTGGCTGTGGCTGTTTCAGCCTCTGTCCCGGCTGCGCTGTGGGGCCGCCTGGGAGTGTAACCCGCGGGCGCCGCTTACAGCTGAGGCCTCTGCCGAGCTGCCGACCGTGCGCTCCCAGCCCCGTCTCGCGCCTTCGCAATCCTACCGGGATGGAGTCAGTGTCCTGCGTTGTATGGTCCTCGCAAGCTGCTTTTCTGTTGGTTTTTTCCGTCGATTTGTCTGTGTTATAGTTGTAATTCCAGTTTGGTTCTGGGAGACGGTCTGTGTAGCTCCGTTCACTCCGCCGCCATTTTTCCCGCTCGAGTCTGGGTCTTCAGAGTGTAGCTCAGTGAGGAAATCTGTAGACTTCCACTGGGTTCAAAGCTGCAGGATCCTGGGAATATGTCAGTGTGATTTCTTTTGTCTTTGCAGCCCAGTGTGGCATGGTGGATAAAACTTGTTGACCGAATGCAGAGAATCCCTGTGGCCTCAATCCAGACTGCGAAAACTCACACTTTTCAATGTTTTAAGATATAATATTAGTTATTTGTCCTCATTTTTATTTTTATTTTTACTTTTTTTATCTTTATTTTTGAATGCATTACAGATGGTTCTCATTTTTCCCCCATTGACCCCCTTTTCCCCACTCCTGCCCCTCTCCTGCCTTTTTTCACACTGTTGTCTGTGTCTATTGGTTATGCATATAAGTTCTTTGGTTTATTTCTTCCAACTCCCCAATTCCCTTCTCTTTGAGGTTTGTCAGTCTAGCAACCAATTTGTACTTCCTAATCCCTTCACCTTTTTCACCCATTCCCCTAACCCCCCTCCCATCTGGCAACCAATAAAATGTTCTCTGTATCTATGGGAATGTTTCTGTTCTGCCTGTTCATTTTGTTTGTAGATTCCATTGTCAGTAGATAGGTATTCATTGCCATTTTGTTCGTTCATATATTTTATCTTTTTCTTCAAAAAGACCTTTCAACATTTCATGTAACAATGGTTTGGTGGTGACGAACTCCTTTAACTTTTTTTTTGTCTGGGAAACTCTTTATATGGCCATCGATTCTAAATGACAGCTTTGCAGGATAGAGTAGTCTGGGTTGTAGGTTCTTGCTTTTCATCAGTCTGAATATTTCTTGCCACTCCCTTCTAGCCTGCAAAGTTTCTTTTGAGAACTCGGCTGACAGCCTTATGGGTACTCCCTTGTAGCTACCTTTCTCTTGCTGCTTTTAAGATTCTCTCTTTGTCTTGAACTTTTGCATTTTGATGATGATGTGTCTTGGTGTGGGCCTCTTAGGGTTCATCTTGTTTGGGACTCTCTGTGCTTCCTGGACTTGTATGTCTGCTTCCTTCACCAAGTTAGGGAAGTTTTCTGCCATTATTGTTTCATATAGGTTTTCAATTTTTTGTTCTCTCTCTCCTCCTTCTGGCACCCCCAAGATGCGAATGTTGGCATGCTTGAAGTTGTCCCAGAGGCTCCTTACACTATCCTCATTTTTTTGGATTCTTTTTTTTTTTTTTTGCTGTTCTGATTGGGCGTTTTTTGCTTCCTTATATTCTAAATAGATGGTTTGCTTCTTGACTTTACCTACTCCACTATTGAATCTCTGTAAATTATTCTTTATTTCAGTTAGTACCTCCTCTATTTCTGACTGCATCCTTTATTTCTGACTGGTCCTTCTTTATGCTCTTGAGGCCCTCACTAAGTTCCCTGAGGTTCTCACTAAGTTCATTGAGCATCCTTATAAGTAGTATTTTGAACTTAGCGTCTGTTAGGTTGCTTATCTCCATTTCGCTTAGTTCTTTTCCTGGAGAGTTTTTCTGTACTTTCATTTGGGACCTGTTTCTCTGTCTCCTCACTTTGGCTGCCTCCCTGCGTTTGTTTCTATCTATTACTTAACGAGAAGTATGGGGCTAGCTGAGACCAGATGCTGCTTGTTTGAAAGAATTTAGGAAAACCTAAAGCAGGATCCAAGACAGGCCAATCCTATGGTAAAGCAAGTGGCAACAGCTTGGGTGGGCCTGAAAGATGGGTGGGGCAGGGCCTCAGGGAATCACCAGGGCCGGGCAAACAGTAGGAGCCAGGTTGCTGGAGTCCCAGATAATGGCAGCTGTCTGCCGCTCCTGAGAAAGGCTCACCAAAGGAACAAAGGCCTCTGACAGCACGTTTGTCCTGGAGAAAGCCTTCTGTCCAGCCCTCGCTCCAATGCCAAACAGCTCAGTTCTTCCCTGTATGTCTCTGGCGCCCCTCGAGCTGCCTCTCCTCCAAGCTTAGAGGGAGTGAGTTCGATAAGTCTGTGCGCAGGCCCTTTAATGAGCTGCCTGGGGCTCTAGCTGCCTCAGCCTCCCTGAGCCTCAGTTCCCGCAGGTTTTTCCAGCCAGAAGTTATGGGGATTCTCTTCCTGGCACTGGAACCCTGAGCGGGGCACCTGGTGTGGGACGGGGACCCCTCAGTTCTCAGAGAGGACCATCCCAGCCAAGGTATCACACGTGGGTGTGGGACCAGCCCATCTGCCTCCGCCCCTCCTACCAGTCTGGATGTGGCTGCTTCTTTAATTCCATAGTTGTAGGACTTCCATTCATCTTGATTTCAGGCAGCTCTGAATGATGGTTGTTCTGTAGTTTAGTTGTAACTTTGAGGTGGTGTGAGAAGACACGATACCGCGTTTACCTACGCCACCATCTTGACCAGAAATTCTATCCTCATTTTTATAAGTGAAGTTACATCATTATTGGAGAGTGTGTGAGACAGAGAAAGAGGGAGAGAGAAGTGGAATATAGTTCATATTGCAGGTGAGCCTCTACTTGGAAGAGCCTTAGCAAACCTAGTTCTAGCCATGTCAATGTCATGACCTTGTGGTTTAACCCTGTACAAGGTCCTCATCCTTTCATGGCCTTGTATTCTTCATCTGTATGACAGGTTGGGCTAAATGTTCTATAAGAGTTGTTTCAAATCTTTCGTGACTTTTCAAACTGCATTGGTAAGTGCTAATTATAGATAAGACTGTATAAAACTATATATAAGTATATATGTATAACTCCATAATTATGTTGAACTCTAAAAAAATTATTTGGGATTACAAGAGAGGGAAAGTTTGTAGGAATATTTTCTCTGTGATCGCTTCTCGCCCTTTAGGCTAAGATCAAGTGTAGTATCTGTTCTTATCTGGTTAATATTTTCTCTGTGAAATTAGGTTTATAAAAACTTAAAATGGAGACTCTTTGTTAGTTTAGAAACTTGTAAAAAATTTGTAGTGATAAGGGTTATCACGGCTGAAATGGTGTTCATATGAGTGAAGGATCTTGGCATGGTGGTTTCCAGCAGTTTTCTTCCTTTAGTCATGTCCTACTGTGGACCCTGATCCTAGTGTGGATGCTCTGGCGGGCATAGAGCCTGAGTACCCTGGGGCTTTGGGAAGAGCACAACTCTGAGACGTGGCCATATTCTCTCTCCTAACTAGAACAAAGACTTTGTCCTGTCTGTTTCATGTAGAATGAGAGCTCTTGTGAGGCAAGGACCCTGCTATGTGCCAGTGTCTTGGTTTTATTCTGAATCCAGACCATTCCCTTGCTGTTGATGTTCTAGTGACTCTACCAAGTGTAATGACACATTTTAGCCTCACACACCCACTAATTTGTCCCTTTTTCTTCAGAGCAGAGTGGCTTGGCTGTGGTATGGACTGACTCAGGAACAGATGAGCAGAGACAGCTGCGTCCACACCTTGCCATTCTCCTACTATTTAGAACTTGAGAAGCAATGGGTTCCTGGGAAACTTTGGTTAACTTCACTCTCACTAAAATGTATGACTGATAAAACTGGAGACTTTCTCATCAATTTTCCCCTTGCTGGTATAATTGAGATCAAGAAAGAGGCTTCTCATTTTATCTTCAGTTCTGTCACCATCCTGGAAAAAGACCATGTCAAACACTGGTTCAGTTCCTTGCAACCTAGTTGGAATGTCATTTTCGATGTCATCAAGCACTTCTGGAGAGAAGTTTTAGTTGAGTGCTGCTGTGGGGGCATCATTCTTCCCACCCCACCCCCCATGACCAAGGGCAGGAGCTCACTAGTCTGATGGCCTATTCCCAAAAGGATCTGGACGATACAGTCAGAGTCCTGCACTGCCAGGATGAGCAGCTAGACAGACAGCATAGTGAGCAGCCTGGACAATATGGAATCTGACGTGGCTGACAGGTAGAAAAAAGTACTACAGCCCTAAGCTGCTCTTCAGGTGGCTGGGGTACCTTCCATATCCCATATTTAATACACATTCAGAAAACATGGGTTATACCTGTTGTGGACAGTTATTCTGGGTTGGCTGCTCTGAGTATACAGACAGGGGCCAGTGTTTATTGAAAGCTCACAACTGTCAGGTTTAGCGTAAGTGTTCAATGAGGATCACCTCATTCAATCACTAGACAAGCCAAGAACATGTTGTTTGTTGTTGACTTCATTTTGCTGATGGGGAAACTGAGGCTGAGAGGCCAGAGAATTTGTTCAAGATCTCACACACTAAGTTTGCTAGCATAATTTATTTTTTTTTAGTAGTTTATTTATTTTTTTTACATAGTTGTGGAGCAGCCAGGTTTCAGTGTAAGCATTTGGCTCCAGAAGCTACCACCTGAGCTGCTGGACCAGCCACTCAAACCTTGAGTCTTGGGGCCCTTCTATTCTCTTTTGAGACCCCCAAAGAGCTTTTGTTTCTGTGGGTTATGTTATATTGACCATGTTTTTTTAAAACTGAAAAATTAAAAAGTTATTTATTCATTTAAAGAGTGCAGTAATAGCCCAGCCGGTGTGGCTCACTGGTTGAGTGTCGATGCATGCACCAAGGGGTCACCAGTTCAATTCCCAGTCAGGGCACTTGCCCAGGTTGTGGGCCAAATCTCCAGTGGGGGGAGCATGCAAGAGGCGGCTAATTGATGTTCTCTCTCATCAATATTTCTGTCTGTCTCTCACTCTCCCTTCCTCTCTCTCTCTAAAGTCAATAAAGAAAAAAAATAAAGAGTACAATAATAAATTCATGATTTAGTAACATAAGTAACATTAAAAAATTTTTTAAAAACTTTATAAAGCAAAACCTGTTCAGTGAAGAGTGGTACTATTTGAGACTTTGCACCTCTGTAAAGTGAGGCTTAGTCAAAAATATTGTGTTCCCATGCCTGCTGTGAGTGCTATGCTGACCTTTGGAAATCTCTGTGTACAGTCTGGATGCCATCAGAGCAGCAAAGCCAGATAGTGACATGGTGCTATTAGGGAGTGATTTTGACCATACTTTGAGAAGCACTGGCCTGACCCTAAGTCATGAAAAGTCCTCCAGGGATCTTAGAGTTTAGTAGGAATAGCCTCTCCCCACAACTTAGAGGGCTTCTGGGAGTCAGCCTCTTGGTTATGAGCCCTGAGCATAGTCCACATCTCTTGGATGAGGTCTGTATGGGTAGCATAGGTGGGAACCCATGCCCCTGAGGGAACTCACATATACTCACCACCTGCTACTGTTTCCTAAGTACTTACTTGTGAAGGGCTAATTGCTGCAGTTGCAGGGGACAGAAAGCCCCAGATCTTACTCTCAGGAAGGGTGCTTGTGGAGGATGAGATGAAGGTCACTAGAACTTTGTCAGTTTTCCTCTTGAGGATATAGCCGGATGCCATTTGTAGATGCTTTATATATTCAAAATAGCACTCTAGGAAAACTATGGAGACAATGAAAATAGGAAACCTAAATGGGATGGGCACATGTAGGGCCATTTTGTTTTACAGAGCACCTGACAGCTCCTGGAGGACTATGCTACTACAGGACAGTAGTGTCCAGTACTCAGTGAGCCTTCTCATTTCTCCATCACATCTGGGGATATTTCTCATATTATTTGTTTGATAATTTCTTCCCCACAATTTTTCTTTCTTTTTCTCTTTTTATTATTATTTTTTTATTTATTTTTGTTACAGATGTTTCTTCTTTTTCCACCATTGACACCCTCCTCCCAAACCCGATCCCCCACCCGCCCCAACATTGTTATCTATGTCCATTGGTTACACATACATGCATATAAGTTCTTTGGTTTATCTCTTCCCACCCCTCCATCCCCCTCTTCTGAGGTTTGTCAGTCTATACCCTACTACTATGTATTGGTTGGTTTTGTTCATCAGCTTTTTTTGTTCATTATATTCGACAAATAAGTGAGATCATGTGATATTTGTCTTTATCTGATTGGCTTATTTCCCTTAGCATAATACTACTCTCTAGGTCCCTCCATGTCATCTCAAAGGATAAGAGATCTTTATTTCCTACAGCTGTATAGTATTTTATAGTGTATATATATCACTGCTTTTTTATACACATCTATTGATGGACACTTGGGCTGTTTCTAGATCTTAACTATTGTAAATAGTGCTGCTATGAACATAGGGGTACATATATTCTTTCTGATTGGTGTTTCAGGCTTCTTAGGGTATATTTCTAGAAATGAGATCACTGGGTCAAATGGCAGTTCAATTTTTATCTTTTTGAGGTAGCACCATAGTGTTTTCCATAGTGTCTGCATTCCCATCAGCAGTGTACTAGATTCCCCTCTTCTCCACACCCTCACCAGCACTTGTTGTTTGGTGATTTGTTGATAGATGCCATTTAGCAGTTGTGAGGTGATACCTCATTCTTATTTTAATTTGCATCTCTCTGATGATTAGTGACGCTGAGCATTTTTTCATGTTTCCTGGCCATTTGTATGTCCTGTTTGGAGAGGTATCTTTTTAGGTCGTCTGCCCATTTTTTAATTGGATTGTTTGCCTTCTGTTGAGTTGTATGAGTATTCTATATATTTTGGAAATTAACCCCTTATCTGATGTATCATTGGCAATTATGCTCTCCCATACAGTGGGTTTCCCTTTCCATTTTGATGGTTGTTCTTTTTGCTGTGCAGAAGCTTTTTAGTTTGATGTAGTCCCATTTATTAATTTTTCTTTTGTTTCTTTTGCCTTAGGCGTTGTATGAGTGAAAATTCTGCTGTGTGTGATGTCTGAAATTTTGTTACCTACATTTTCTTTTAGGATTTTTATGGATTCATGAGCCACATTTAAGTCTTTTATCCATTTTGAATTTATTCTTGTGTATGGTGTAAGTTGGTGGTCTACTTTTTTGCATGTAGCTGTTCATTTTTCCCAACACCATTTATTTATTTATTTTTATCCTCACCCGAGGACATTTTTCCATTTTTTTTATTCAGATAGAGTGGGAGGGAGACAGAGAGAGAGAGAAACATTGACGTGAAAGAGACACATTGAGTGGCTACCAACCAGGGCCAGGGACAAACTGAAACCAAGGTACATGCCCTTAGTGGGAACCGAACCCGGGTCTCTCTGGACCACAGGCCAATGCTCTAACCGCTGAGCCAAACCAGCCAGGGCCCAACACCATTTATTGAAGAGGCTATCTTGACTCCACTCTATTCTCTTGCCACCTTTGTCAAATATTAATCGAGCATGTTGTCTTGCGTCAATTTCTGGGTTCTCTGTTGTTCTCCGTTGATCTAGATGCCTATACCAGGTTCTTTTGATTACAGTGGCTTTGTGGTATAACCTGATATCCGGGATTGTGATCCCTTCTACTTTGTTCTTCTGTTTCAAGATTGCTATGGCTATTCAAAATTGTTTTTGGTTCCATATGAACTTTTGAAGTATTTGTTCTAGTTCTGTGAAATATGTCGTTGGTATTTTGATGGGGATTGCATTGAATCTATAGATTGCTTTGGGTAGTATGGAAATTTTAATGATGTTAATTATCTCAATCCATGAACAAGATAAGTGCTTCCACTTTTTTATATCTTTCTCTATATCTTTTTTCAATGTCCTGTAGTTTTCTGCAAATAAGTCCTTTACTTTAATTAAGTTTATTCCTAGGTATCTTAATTTTTTTTTGCCACAGTGGTAAATGGGATTGTTTTTTAGTTTCTCTTTCTGTGAGTTCATTATTTGTGTATAAGAATGCCATCGATTTCTTGATGTTAATTTTGTATCCTGCTACCTTGCCAAATTCGTTTATCAAATCTAGGAGATTTTTAATGGAGTCTTTAGGGTTTTCTGTGTATAATGTCATGTCATCTGCAAATGACACAGTTTCACTTTCTCCTTTCCCATTTGGATCCCTTTTATTTTTTTCTTCATGTCTGATTGCTGTGGCTAAGACTTCCAACACGATGTTAAATAAGAGTGGGGAAAGTGGGCATCCCTGTCTTGTTCCTATTCTTAAAAGAAATGCATTTAATTTTTGCCCTTGCTTCTCTTTTCCTCTCTCCTGTCTGTCTGTCTGTCTGTCTGTCTCTCTCTCTCTCCTTCTCTCCCTCTCTCCCTCCCTCCCCCCTTCCCTTTCTCTCTCTCTCTCTTTCTTGTGTGTGTGTCAGTGTCCTACTGGTTCTTCTGTGGAGAACCCTGACTGGTACAGATTCTGGTATTAAGAGTAAAGTGTGAGTTTGGTTCAACAGTTTCTGGAATCTTTAATCTGATTAGAATTAAAGCCACTAATACTGCTTATTTCCAGTGGTGTAGGGGCACTGATACTATATAGCATGATGTGGCAATAAAGATACACAAATATCACCATGTGGTACTCCTAATCAAAGACTTTAAAAAGGCAATGTATTCAGTACCTAATACATTCATTTGTAATCTTAACCTAATGCACATGATGAGATTAGATTGCTGCTTCTAACTCCAGCAAACAAAGTAGGGAAAGGGAAGAATGAGCTCAGGTTGCTGCATAAATGGCCTGAACATTTCTGTATGTTCCCTGAAAGAAACCAGCTCCTGTAAATGTGACACTGAAATTCCTGAAAACTAGATCTAGATTGTCATCCTGTGAATGGCTGGTTGCAATGTAAATTGAAATCCCTACTTTGTTGTCTGCTGTTAGACTGAGGGCATTGATTGGGAAGAAATGTTCACATTTGAAAGTGAACATATGGGAAGATCCTGATGAGACAGGAAACTGAAATCCAAAATTCTGATGAGTCTTCTCTGCTAGTAGAAGCACTCCTACCCCATCTGAGATTATCCATGCTTTGCCAGAGAATTCTATAATGGCCTCCTCTGAGGCAATTGCCCTTCAATGTACTGCTGACTATCCTTAGAATGCACACCTATCACTGTTTCTAGATGTGTTGCTAGACTTGGGTCCCAACAGATTCAAAAAGATGAGGCACAAAGTATGACCCACAAGTAGGTATGCTAAAAGAACTGCATGATTTTTTCCAGTTTACCCAGAAATCTGGAGAATATGTAGGGAATAGATATCAAAGGTGTGGGTCACCTTTGTGAAAGAAACATAAAGTTGGATCAGGCTGAATTACTAAACTGGGCCCACTAAGCTGAGATTCTGGATCCATTGCTATAACTGGAAGGGTTTGCTTGGTTGGCTGAGAAGTAGGCTAAAAGGTGGCACACACTAGATGAAGTGTGAGATGTCAGGACTGCCTTGGTTACTCCAGAGGAAGGATCCAGGGCTGAGGGTGATTGGAGAGGTAGAGTAGACTTACATTTGAGACCTGTTCACCCATGTGGCAGGCTCCAGAGGACACACTGTGAGGGCAGCTCCGCCATTCTTAAAGAGTTATGTAGTTGCTCTTCTGGGTAGGCTAGAAATTAGTGGGAACTGCTACCACTGAGCTGGGATCCTTAAATTCAGTGGGGACAGCTGTATCCCAGGTGGTGGGGCCAAGTGGCAGCACTCAGTCACCAAAGGCAAGTGGGGATGGTTACCATAATATACAGTAGAGTTAAGCAGCCAGCAGTCTGACTCTGAGTCCTATGCCATTGACTAGTTGGTCATGTGCCCCAGAACAGAAATAGATGGCCGTCTCTCCATTCTTGATCTGTGTATGCAGAATTCATGTCAAGTGAGCACACATCTCAATTGAATTAAAACAACAGTCATGGCCCCCAATTGATTCCCAGACTTAAACCATTTTACAGACTCAGAACCTCTTGAATGACAGGGAGGCTGGGGCCCCTTATAGAAAGACCCCAGTGTGCTACCAAAAACTGATACTGTTAAATCTTTCTCCCAGAGGGACCTCTGGCTCTACGTTGAGGAGAAGGAAATAGATTTTTCAGGGATACTGGACACTGGCTCTGAACTGACACTGATTCTAGGGGACCTAAATCATCACTGAGGCTCCCTAGTCATACTAGAGGCTTATGGAGGTTAAATGACTGATGGACTTTTGGCTCAGGTCCATCTCACAGTGGGTCCCCCAAGTCTATCCTGTGGT